TGGGGGTTGAACAGAGAGAGCCTGGTTTTGGCTGCTGCCCAAAAAGCTCATTGTGCAACTCAGTTGAAGGAGACTGCTCATATACAAAGGGCTTATTCTTGGTTTAGCTGGAATATAATTTTTTCCACTAAAATGACCAACCTAGGGACTTAAGGAATAGAAGTGATTCGTGGTTCTCCACAACTGCGATTATTAACTGTGTCAGGTAGGAGCACTGACAAAATGTATGTAGATGAGAACAACACTTAACAGTTAATTTTTAAATCACTGCCTCACTGCAGTGGTAATATGTGTTACAATCCCTGAGAATAAGCAAAAGGAAATTCTTTTTTGACATTTTTTATGGCATGTGCAGTACTAAAGAAAAAATTCTGCAATGTTCTCAACTCCTGACTAGTGCAGCAGCGGGTAATACAAGCAGGTAGTTCAGGAGAAATCCATGCATAGATTTTTTTCATCACTGAATCTTCTGTTTAATACTTACGGAAAATGGGATCAGTGGCATGGTAGGATCCTCGTTGAAGAATGAAGTGCAACCCTCTAACCCAACACAAGGTCATAGTGCTGCCTGTCCCCATCTTCATAGCCTGGTGTTAAGGCATTTTGAGACACAAACATAAGTAAAAGTATAGTTGGCCATATCCTGAAGTATCTTACATACACTGCAACTTTGTCATTTAATTCCAGACTGTATAAATTAATTATCTGCTTGAATAGGAACTATAGTTTTGCTTTGCTTTTATTGTTTGTATCTTGTAAAGTCATAAGCATGAGGAATAAAATTTTTTAGTTCTCCACTGGCTGTCTCAATGGAACATCAGCGTCAGTATGAAGGCTGGTACTTCAGGTGAGTTAGAACAGGAAAAGAGAGGAAATTAGCTAAGTATTAGTTATAGCTTCCAGCTTATTCGTCCAGCTCTTTACAAGTGAAAGGGAAAAGGAAAAAGAACCAAAATCCCCCACTTCATACTTCAGAATAAAGCAGTGAAACACAGATGAGTCAGTATTTAATAATTACTGAAATTCAAAGAAAGGCATGATTCACAAATATAGCCAGCCCACAGACAACAGAAGAATCCCCATTCCTGAGAATGAGGCAATCATGTCTATTTATGTTCTATAAGAGAATATTTTTGAATGATTTTTTAGTTATTATTATTTGAACTACTCTCACATTTGAGTGGGTAGAAGCTTTTTAATTTCTGGATTCAGATGGTGGATACCTCAGGTCAAACTGAACCCACTATAGAAAAGTAATTGAAGTTACAGTGGAGCAAAGAGTTTGGCACTATACGTTTATTACACAGACTACCTAGCTTCTTTTTATGGCAGAACTGTGGGTCAAGGGGCTGACAGAGCAATAACATTCTTAAATAGACTGTGTGATAGCAATTCAGATGCTCAGTAGCCAGTAATTGCACGTTCATGTTTTGCACGATATGAAATGTGCAAGCTCCACATCTCTGACTTAAAACCAGCTTATTTTGCTCCGAACATCCATAACTGATGTAATTTAAACACTTCTCTGAGAGCGTATTTAAGAAAATGGGAAGCATTATACAAGTATTGCTCATGCAAGCCTGTTTCAAGAGATTCTTTGAACATGGTTATTGATAGGTTTCTCTGACATAACATATGCAAAATGTAATTGAAATTAAATGTCAGCATGACACCATTAAACATCTAACATTTACCATCTTCTAAGACAACTATTCTGAGCAGTAACTTCATAATCAAGAATTGACTCACTCTTTTATTTTAATTTTTTGCTCTTTTAGACAAATAAAGGTGATGCCCTTGCAAACCGTGTTCAGAACACATTGGGAAATTATGATGAGATGAAGGACCTGTTAACCAACCATTGCAACCAGAGCCACCTTGTAGGAATCCCAAAGAGTTCTGTCCCACAGACACCCATTGACAAAAATGAACAGAACTTTTTCCCAGAACCAAGAAACAGGATGATCCCATCTCATCAGATCAGTGGCCACTCATCGACATCAATGCCTCCACCTTCTTCATTGTCATCTAATTCTACTTTACTACACAGTCACCAGAGCAGCAGGAAGTCGAGAACAGACTGGTCACGTGGTGGTCACAACTCTAGTGGGGCCCAGCCAAGCCAGTCCAGTAGTCAGCAGAGTCGGACAAAGCATAGCACTTCCCATGACCAGCCACAGGGCAGGTATGAAGACCTCTATAATTGTCAGAGTGAGCAGCATAAAAGTGGAGGAACTGAGGAAGCCAATTCTATTGCAGCATCTTCACATTCAAGGAGGCATACTCATTCAAAGTCAGCACCTGGAGAACATACTTACAAAGAAAACAGTCATTCAAAGTCGCCCACAGAGCTGGAGTTTGTAGGTCATGGTCCTGGATCTCCACTTCCTTCTACTTCTTTGCTGTCTGCCAACAGTGGTCTTTCGACCCAGAATTTCCCGCCTGGACTTCACTGTAAAAACAGCATGGTCCAGCAGAAGCCTACAGCGTATGTCAGGCCTATGGATGGTCAAGACCAGGTACCCAATGACTCACCTGAACTGAAACCTCCGATAGAAATTGAGAATGGATATGGAAATCAGTCCTTTGGAACACTGCTGGAAGGAAAAGTGAACACACCTAGCTCAAAGAACAAAGTACCAAAGCTCACCATTCCTCCTGTTAGTGAAGTAAGTAGTTTAAAACATCTCTCTCTTGAGTACTTCCTGCACTGAATATTTTTCTCTGCAAATATGCAGTTCAATTTCATGGAATTACAATATAAAATGTTTCTTTTTTCGAGAATCTGCATGACTACTTTTGGCAAAGATTGTTGTGGTAGTCCCAGTAGCAATATTTAATGAAGTTTTAAAAGCACAGTTTGGAATACCAACATTACTTGTTTCTAATTAATATTAAAAGTCTAGTTCTCTGTTGGGTGTAATATATTTATACCAGCTAGAATTCTGGACAGAGAACTCTAATATCTCAGTTCATCTGCAGTTTTCTCTCGTGCATTTTCAGTTAGGAGCTAGTTTGACAGAAAGATTGCTGTTTTAAACTCTAAGGAAAAATGGCAGTGTTCAAATTTCAGTGGTACCAAATAGTTCTACCAGTAAGGAGTTTATTTGCAGAGTCTGCTAAATTCTGATTGCTTTTAATGGAATTAATGTGGCTTAAGATCTGAGTAATGCTTATGAAAATGTGTCCCATTAAAGCTTTTATGCATTTTGAAGAGCTCTTAATACTGGGATCCAGTCCCAATCTCTGCTATCAACAGTTTAAGCTGTTGAATTTCCTACTGCTGGTCAGTCCAGTAGTCCTGTGAGGAACATTTCAGATGGTTCACATTCAGGTCTGTTCCAAGCACAGATGTATAATAAGAATACCAATTGAACTATTTATACTCTATATACTTTTCTCTTATTCTGAGTTTCTCTAAAGCAGTAACCTTTGCAAGGTCAGTTTATAAGTGTACGTATGAGCAAAACTGCAATATGGTTTTTTCATAGCTTTCTCTTTTCCCCCAAATATTTCCCTGCTTGGTAATATTTTTATACTAGAAATGAGGACCAATGCATTCTTAAACCACTTTATTGCAAAAGGTCAGATTTTTCTATTGGAATAATTGTTTCAAGCCAATAATTTGTTTGACTATTTAAAAAACTTGATGTTATTTATTAACATTCCAGGCAGCAACAAAGACTGATGTGTTTTGCAGTAGAGCTTGGAATAATTTTCTGGGAACTGCATCTGAAAACAGTAAAAGGCCTATTTATATCAAGTGGAAGCTGAGGGTTGCTTGCAGATGGTGTTTTATTAGAAAATGTATTTGTTAATAAACGTAGCTTTGTACAAGATTACTTTACAGATGTTTCTGTTTATTTTTACCTTAGGATAAAAATCTGCTGATGTAGATGGCTTCATAGTCTGTTGCCATTTGTCACTAGCATTGTTTGGCGAGTAAATAATTACATACAAAGGAAATAATGATGTTGCAAAAGCAAATACATTTTTTCACTTTTGCCATCTATTAACACTATGAGTCAATAGATGCACTTCGAAGTGCAGCATTAATACGAAGTATTTTTGGAAATAAAATGTGCCTTTTGCAACTTGTATCAACTATTAAGAATGCATTTTTCCCTTTAATTTTATTTTTTCTTTAATTTAAATCCTGTCACTGTTGAAATCAATTGAGTTGTTAGCAATGTTTTTGGGAGCAAGATTTCACTCACATTCTTTTTGCCTGGCTCTAAGAACCTCTGATTTGAGATGTTGTTTTTGGAAAGATTTCTAGTCACACAGATGAAAAATTACATTGTGAATTTGTTGCCATAGTTTCTTTAGTTTATATTCTGTGTAGTGAAAAGTATAGGTGTGTAATTAATTTCACTTATGATCAGATAAATGGTAAACTCTAGGCACTTTGGAAATGAATGCAGATAATAATCTAAAAGACTCCGAATTACAAGAGTGAACAATAACTTGAAGAGGGGAAAAAACCTCAAAGCTCTGTTTAAAGTGACGAATAACTTTCCTTTCTGATGCACAACATAAGAAAATAGCCCAACTGATGGATCTTTTAGAGACACATCTACTTCTGAGTTCGGAGGGTTAGATTTTTTTTTGTCTGTGTCAGGACTGTGAACTTTGGCCCTCAGTGTTTTTCCACATATGTGCATCCTGAATTTGATTTACCCTGCGTTCAGCAATAAAACTCCTTCCAATCCAATGTTATAGATAACTGGTTTAGTTTAAGCTTAATCAGAACTGACAGTGCACACCTGTGAAACCCATAACCTTTTCAGAATGACTGCAGCGAGTGGCTCTGTTGTAATCTTTACACAATTGATGTGGAGGCTTATGATCCTTCGGTGGTGCTTATCAATTTATGAACCTTCCCTAGCCACCTTGAGCCATAGTGATCTGTTGAAACAATTTTGCTTCTGCTCCATAGGTTTCCATCCTAACACTGTTCCAGGTGGTGGTGGCGGCGATCTTAAACTAGCAGTAGGAAAGTCACTTTTTGGGGACACTTCTCCACAATTTGTTCTGTGGCTCTCCTGTATCTTTGCATCCATTTTTTTCAAGTGGCTGTGGTTTACACATAGAGATTGCATACCAAACACTTCTCAGTGAATTCCCTCAAAAATTTGCACACTCTTAAGATGAGGAATTCTGTGAAGAAATAAAATTCCTAGGTGATGGTCCTGCAATAAGGGCATCTATTTAAATGTGCAGAGTTGGAGAAAAAGAATAAGTCAGGTTTTGCTACCTTAAGGAGACAGATGGGAATAAGTAACCAAATATTTGAACAAGCAGACTTAAAAGATGAGTTCAGACTTATGTGGAAATATGGTCTCATTTGTCATGGCTTAATGGAATAGGACATTGAGTGCCCTGGAAGCATTCTGCCATGTGTAAGGAAGTAAACAATTTTATAACATAATTTGTGTCACTTGAGGTGTTGCTCTAAGAATCTTTGCTAGTTTGCTGGGCCCAATTCTGCCCTCAGTGGTGCCCATCCATCTTTCAGCTCCTCTGGGTGGACAACATTGTTAATGCCTTGCTGCTGGCATGTCTCCATTGTGCAATGGATTGTGGCTTAGTGATTCCTGAGTTTGTAGAGATTCATAGTAAGTTCACACAGACTTCCCAGACTGGATCCAGATGTAATGTTAGCAGCACTTAGGTACTAATCCTTGCTTCTGAGTGGGTGCTGTTGTGTGATTTCCAGACCTTGACTCATCCACACAGAGCTAGTTGAGACCTGTCTGCACCATGCATGGTCATTTCTGGTTGAGAGAAACAGCAGAGCCTCTGTAGACTTTCAGTTATGTCTTATAAGTGTTTCTTTCTGATTTTGTGATCCTTTTGATTTCTTTTACCTTTTTGCTTTCATTTTACTTATCAATATTACTTTCTAAGGGGGAAGGTAAAAAAAATTATGGTTTGGTGTCTTGAACAAAACTCAATGTAACCACTAGAACCCAGGCCTGTCAGCCTATGAGGTGGTGAGATTGTGAAGCAGACCTTCATAACTGGGAGGCCATAAGGCCATAGTGTTACTTCAGGGAGACATGCAGAAATTCACCAGATATCATGACATAGAATTGATAATAATGGTCCTGGAGCTAAATCTGATAGAAAAATGAATGGAAAGGCTCAATCTGTAAACATTTTTTTCCCATTCCTTATTCACTTTCATCACTTTAGTCTGTATTTATGTACATGCTTACTTATATATATATTAATACTGAGCTTGCATTTAACATTTGGTAAATTGTGGCAAGTCTGGAACATTGCAGAGAGCTTTTGTATTATGTAGAATTCCACATGCTTAAATTATATGATGGGAGATGATTGTTACTTGCCACTCAGAGAACTGCGTAGTTAAATCCTATGCAATTCTTAACAAAAAATGGAGCTTAGAGATCACAGTAACAGCTGATACTCTCTCTGCTGCATTAAAATCCAGAATCTTGATACATGGATGTGTATTTAAACCTCTAGGAATCAGATGCTTACAAATTATTTCAGATTGACAAGCTCAGCAGGATATAGCTGAAAGAAAGCCTGTGCTTTTCAGATTGGGCTAAAACACAATTACTGAGAGTACTGAGTAAAGCGAAGGGTTCTAAGGTCTGTGGGAACATCAGAAGATGTGTTCCTGGAAAATCTTATGCACAGTTCTCCAGAACAATGCATGGATTTCCAATAAATGTTTAGGGACAGGAAATCAAGGGCAATTGAGATAATGTTTGATTCTCAAGGCAGAGTTTTAAAATCTTGCTGCAAAATTGGTGTCATGTTCCCACAAAGCAGCGAATGCTCATGTACCAAATTTTCCCCAAAATACAAAGCTAGGAAGAAATCCAAAAGGCCTACAACATCTATGTCACCACCCACTTAATGGAGAACTTCTATTTTCATGTTAGGTCTAGGAAAATATTTTGACGGGTTCAGTATCCCGCGAAGTGAGAAGCTTCTGGTACGTGTTTCCAATCATTCTGCCATCGCTGCATGTATTGATTAGCTTAGTACTTTCTGAGCTAGCTGTAAAAAAGGCTGCTCTCTTTCTGCATTAAAGAGCAAGAAAAATTGACAGGTAGATAACCATATTGATTGAACCTAAATAGTAAATGCAAGAGGCTTATATATGACTTTTAAAACTCTTTATAGGAACCAAAGCCAGTTTAATGTATCTTTTTTTTTTTTTTTTAATTAAATGGAAAGTAGATTTCTTCAATTAACCACCCCCACACCTTTTATATACATGCTACTTTAGTTGCCAGCTATAGTACATTACCATAGCCATGAGCAAATCACTTTTTTCAGACACAAGCTCTAGCTGGCCCCCAGACTTTGAGCTCTCAAGAAGAATGGACTGAATCATGCATTAAACTGAAATCCCTTTGCTTGGTTCATATTTCAAAAGTCTGAGGCCAAAAACAAACCCAAAAAGCAGTATTTCTTGCAGTATTACAGGTTGCAGACATATGCTTTTCATTTGTAAATACTGTGAGAAGTAATGTTCTTGTGATATTTCTAAATGAAGAACATACGACACCACTCGACTGAAGACCTCTCATTATGGCCTTTTTAAGGCTACTGTCCAATTGCTTGGACAATTGCTAGTAAAGCTGTTTTCAAGGTTAGCAAGAGGACAGCTTGCATACTTTACATC